GGTCTTGGCCTTAACCTTCCGCTCCTTGATATCGACCTTGTTACCGCACAGAACAATGGGGATGTTCTCGCAGACACGGACGAGATCGCGGTGCCAGTTGGGAACGTTCTTATAGGTGATACGCGAGGTGACGTCGAACATGATAATGGCGCACTGGCCCTGGATGTAGTAGCCGTCGCGCAGACCACCGAACTTCTCCTGGCCGGCAGTATCCCAAGTGTTGAAGATGAGCTCACCCTTGTTGGTAGTGAACTTCAGGGGGTGGACCTCGACGCCAATGGTAGCTATATGACGCCAAACAGAGTAGCAATAAAGGACAGTCGTGTTGAGTATAAGCGATTCTGTCTACTGCCAACTGACACACATACAACAAACATGCACGCGCAGCACTGCCGCTCGCCTGGATGGCCAGAATGCTACTTACCGATGTACTTCTTCTCAAACTCACCGGACAGGTGGCGCTTGACGAAGGTGGTCTTTCCCGTACCGCCATCACCGACGAGAACAAGCTTGAAAGTGGGAACCTGAGCCATTTTTGAATTACTACATAACGGGGAAGGGGGCGATTTCGCACACACGCTTATTTAGACACCAGATTGCGGCTCTGAATAAAAAGGCTCGGGCTCACAGCAGAAAACAGCCCACAGACCCACGTGGCGGGCACAAAAACGCAGACCGCGTGCGACCGTCGTCGTCCTTTTTTCCTCACCGCCGATTAGCGATGGGCACTTCAAGCACACTTACCTTCTAGGTTAATAAATTGAAGAGAAGACAACAAGTGGAAACTAGAATAAAAAGGCGCCTGGCTATGTCGTTGCGCGTTTAGCTCGACTTTTGTGTCAAACAAAATTTTTTCTAGCGATTTTTGGGGGTAAGGGCGAGTTGCGAATTGGGACTTCAAAAATAGTGGTCTTGAGCCGGCGAGCCGGCGAGCCGCCCCATGGCGCCTGATCAGCCAATCGAATCGGAATCTAGCCGCTGGGCAACTCGCGGGCAGTGGTGGCGTGACAGTGGGGATTCAGGTGCTGGGGCAGTATACTTAAATTATTGGCAGCCGCCGCTGGCGTCACACGTGTATATTGCGCCATGCCACATAGCCAGGGTATACCTAAGGAAGCCAGCAGGTGGGTAATGCCCAGGCTGCTGCAGCATGCCCCTGCTCTTCCCTACTTTTAGATATACCATGGACGTCAACAACTTGCAGGGCACTGGATTTGGTACGCCGTACCCAGCGGCGACAGACATTGCCAAAGAGCAGGGAAAGACTGTGCTTGGAGGAGTAGAGCTGATCAGCGATCCAACCAACCCCTTCTACATCGGACACGGCATTGGCCACCGCGATCCAAAGACTGGGGCCATGGTTGATCCGTCGGTGCACATTCCTGCGCGCGGCGAGACCCACCCAGGCGAGTTCCAGGCAGTCAGGATGGTTGAAGATAAAGAGACCACAAATGCACAGCTGCTGGAGAGCAGGTACGGCATCACGGCCCCAAACAAGTATCACGCAGGCTGGTACCGCTTCAAGAGCCGGCTGTCAGCAGCCGCTGCCATGGCCACCAAGTCGCAAAAGTGGTTTGAGACTTCGGCACACCAGAAGGCGCTGGCGGATCTCGAGGCCAACGCGTACAACGACAAGTATGGAGGCTATACATTTTCAAAGGGATGAATCTAATAAATGTCTCTTCACTGGCCACCGCCAGAGTTTGCAGCAGCATGCTCTGCCTTCTTTACTGAAGTGTGGACGATCTTGTTTGTAAGCAGAATGACTGCGAGGAACTCTTGCGAGACGGGCTTTATAATGGTAAGGCGGCCTATCATATGCATTTTCCACTTTGTCCGGTCAAAGGTCGCGACGATTTTCTTGTTCATGTCGTAGAGCTCCCATGAGCACTTTGAAAAGCTCCCAACCTTCCACTTGTACTCGTTGCCGTCAAAGTCGTGGATTGTCCACCCCTGTCTAAAAGCCGTAGTTTTTTCGATGACTGCAATTGCATGCGACCCGTACACCTTCCCCCGCCGCTTTGTAAGACCCTCAAGCCGACCAGTAACGACTGGCTTTTCACCCGATGCTGCCGATGTTACGCCCAGTTCATGACCACGGATAGTTATTTCGTACGTTGGCTGCATGCCCTCGACCTCCGAGCTAGACGAGAACGATCCCTGGTAGACGTTTGCACATTTTGTGAAAGCGCCGCTTCTAATAAATGTAAAGACGTTGGACATGGCGGTTTCTGTTAACAGTTTTGGTATGCAAGAGATTGTGAGAAGAACAAGCAGCTGGCACCAAGAAGGCATGCTCTTATACGTCACACTTATAGGTCCAGCCGCCATTAACCAACACCCACTGGTGATGATTGCCTGAAGCTGTGGCATGATTGCTGGGCCGTCTGGTCTCATGATGTCTTGGCAGCAGCCGCTCATATTGTTTGTTTGCTGCCAAGAAATAGGGTGTTGAGTTTAAACCAATGATTTTGGATGCAGTCGCTAACGGCTGCTGAAGGCTTATTGCACAGGCTGTTCAGATTAACATGTGGTCCAGTCTCCAGTGCACACATGCATAATACAGCTATGCTTTTTTGACGTTGTAATATGCATTCAACTAGTCTCTCCTGGATTTGGCTATGGCTACAGACCGTAGAAACAGCATACTGGTCAGAAGGATTATATGGAGGAAGTCATCCGAGATAGGCTGCACGACTGATATTTGTCCGAGAATACGCTGGCTGAATGTGGATACTGCAAAGATGGCAAAAACATTGTTGTGCATATCCACTAGCACCCATGGGCCATCCGACAGCCGTCCACGGATCCTCCAATAGTACGGGTTGCCCGTAGGGTCATGGATTGTCAGCTCAGGAGTATAGTAGCCGGCTTTTTTTATGTGTACACTACCATGCGGCCCATGTATCTTCCCTCGGCGTGCCGAGCACCCCTCTAATTTTCCTGTGAGCATAGCATTTCCACTGGCGGTTGCTGATGACATGGCGAAGCTGGAACTGCAAATGTGGATATCAAACACTGGCTGTAGGTCGGAAACCTGTGATTTGGAAGTAAAAAAGCCCTGATAGACATGAGCGTGTCTTGAAAAGAGACTAGCTCTTTTGAAGGTATAAACGTTAGCCATTTTTATAAACTGTAGTTTCTCAGTAAAACAGGGGTGTGCAGAATAATCGGTGTCGACTGTTTGGGATTACAGGCTATCGAGTTGGGTCGGGCGGTAGCACCCAAGTAACAGCTATATATTGGGAAAGTACAGGCCAAAGCAGCGTTAAGAGAATGAGATAGCAAGCGTGAAGAAAAGAGCAGAGAGAGAGAGCAGTCTGGTGGCTGGACCGATTTGAGATTAAAAGCTGATGAATAAGAAAAGGAGAAAGAGAAGTACTTTAATTCTCTGATATCGGCAACAGCGTATTTATGCCATTTTACCAGCAGCCTTGTGTCATCACTGTTCAGAATATATGGCGGAAGTGAGGTGTCATGTCTTGATTTCTTGGCAGATGAACACATCGAAAATTCTGTGGAATCGTGTTGTCAAAAAAAAAAACTATATGCACCAAACACTTTAGTTGGCAGCAGCAGAACCGGCAGCGGCGGCAGCGGCTTCGCTATCCTGTACTGTGTTATGAACCAGTCGGCTTGTAAGCAGGATGATTAGCAGGAAGTCCTTGGATACTGGCTTTGTAATAGTCAGACGTCCATTGACATGCCTTCTCCATGCAGATCTGTCAAAGGACGCAAAGATATTCTCGTTCTCATCGAGCAATACCCAGTCTGGACCGCGAAACGACTTGACCTTCCACTTATACCGGTTGCCCTCAAAGTCGTGAATTATCCAGTTATCTTTCATACAGCTTTCCATGTTTATAGGTACAATTGTGTTCGACCCATACAGTTTTCCTCGGCGCCGTCTAAACCCTTCCAGGCGACAGGTAATGATTGGTGTTTCGTTGGAATCAGCCAAAGCAATGTCTAGCACGCGTCCTTTGTGATAGACCCGGTAGACTGGTTGCATAGCCTCGACCTCCGAGCTCGCAGTGAACGACCCTTGGAATATCTCTGTGCGGGACCTGAACACTGACGGGTTCACAAATGTAAAGACGTTGGACATGGTGTGCAATAGTGAGTAGAAGGAACCGAGAGTGGGTAGAAGGAATATTGGTGTGTATAGGGATGGGGCAGTCAAGTCCGAGGCAAGAGGTGCTGTATTTATAACGATTGCTTACCAAGCAGCAGTGGTGGAGTGTCTTTTATAGTTGGCGGGTGTCTGCAAGCATATATTGATTTCTTGGCCAATTGACCTTGTGAGACACTTTTAAAGAGAACTGCATATTTGTATATTATTCCTTTGGAAATGCCAAGCCTAATGCCAGAGTCCCCAGAGATCCCCAAATGAACACCTGATTTCTATATGGACTTCAGCCTCAGATGGCTATGGTTTTTCAGTATAGCAATGCGCAGTGTCCTGGATTAGAATGTAGGATAAACAAAATACATATTCTGATAACGCACTGCAGCTGGATTAATATCCTCATCTTAGGTTTACTATGGCTAGCCAAGAAACATGTATCTCGTGTTCGAAATGCTAGGGGGAACGGTGTGCTATACTGTTCGAGTATGTTTACTCTGAGGCAACTTTCCACAATGTATTATTGAATTTATGATAATGTGTAATATGAAAGACGGAAGGAGGAATCCTAAGCTGGAGGAGCTGGCGCCTGCTTGTATATGGCGCCTGCTGCTCGAAATAACGAGAGGGCCATTGTGGCCCAAGGATTAAAAGCCATGAGCTCCCGAGATCCCATGACTGGTCAAGTTGGAAACCACACTGAACTGGAAGTAAAAAAAGCCCTGCTGGACATGGATGCTCCTTGAACAGAAAACAGCTTTTTTGAAGATAAAAGCGCTGGCCATCTTTATAAATTGCGATTCCTCGAAAGCGCAGTAGAGTGCAGAAAACTCGGTGTCAACAACAGGATGTATTCATGTCGTTTTACCAAAAGCCACTGTATTTTTCACTGTTGAGTGCGTAGAGTGGAAGTAGGGTGGCATATCTTGATTTCTTGGCAGATGAACACATCGAAAATTCTATGGAATTGTAATGTCGAAGCAATAACAAACTATATGCACCATATGCTTTAGGTGGCAGCAGCGGACGCAGCGGTTTCCTTATCCTGTACTGTTCTGAGAACCAGACGATTTGTAAGTAGGATGATTAGCAGGAAGTCCTTGGATACTGGCTTTGTAATAGTTAGACGTCCGTTGACATGCCTTCTCCATGCAGATCTGTCAAAGGACGCAAAGATATTCTCGTTCTCATCGAGCAATACCCAGTCTGGACTGCGAAACGACTTGATCTTCCATTTGTACCGGTTGCCCTCAAAGTCGTGAATTATCCAGTTGCTTTTCATGCAGCTTTCCATGTTTATAGGTGCAATTGTGTTCGATCCGTGCAGTTTCCCACGGCGCCGTGTGAACCCTTCCAGGCGACAGGTGATAGTCGGTGTTTCGTTGGAGTCGGCCGGAGCAATGTCTAGCACGCGTCCTTTGATGTTGACATGGTAAACTGGCAGCATAGCCTCGACCTCCGAGCTCGCAGTGAACGACTCTTGGAATATCTCTGTGCGGGACCTGAACGCTGACGGGTTCACAAATGTAAAAACGTTGGACATGGTGTGAGATAGCGAGTAGAAGGAATGTTGGTGTAGGATATGGAAGTGGGGTATTCAAATCCGAGGCAAGAGGTGCTATATTTATAGCATTTGCTTGCCACCAGCAGTGGTAGTGACTCTTTCTATAATTGGTGGGTGTCTGCAGGTACATAATGGTTTCTTGGCCAATCGGTTTCGTGGAACGCTTGCAAGGAAAGCTGCATGTCTACACGCTATTCTTTTGGAATTTCCAAGTGTGTTGTCATTTTTGAGAGTCCGCAGATATCCTTAAATGCACACTTGATTTCTGTGGATTACAACACTAGATAGCCATGATTTTTCAGTATAGCAATGAGCGGTATCCTGAATTAGAACATCGGGAATGCAAAAATATATATGCCGATAACGCTTTGCGGCTGAGTCAACATCCCTGTCTTAATTTCTCTATAGTTGGCCAATAAGCCAACTATGGAGTGAAGTCATGAATTATGTCAGTATACCTGGAACAAACCGAAAGATAATCAGGCATGCTGGTGTGGCTACATATCTGCTGGATTTGTACGCTTGTCCACACTTAGGGCAAAATATCGCTTTGAGCATAGCGAATTGTCAACATTTATTACCACATCACATCTGAATACTGTCATAGAATTACTTTACAGAAATGTGCACGATTCGGGTAGAAAGGATAATTATCGCGAGAAATTCCTCAGGGACCGGCTGCAAGATTGAAAGGCGGCCGATAAGAATCATGTTCAGCATGGCCCGGTCGAACACAGCAATGACTTTCTTGTTTACATCTTTCAGCTCCCACACCACCTTCGTAAACCCGACCTCCCAGGTGTATCGCCTTCCTTGAAAGTCGTGAATGGTCCAGCCCTCAAAGAACGGGTCCGTCCTCTCAAGTTGTGCAGCCTTGTTCGACCAGTGCACAACTGCTCTGCGTCGTGTAACGCCTTTATAATGACCAGCGATTATTGTGCGAGCAGAGGCTACAGACTTGACGCTGATGTCGCTGTGGCTATGGCTGATGTTAGCTTCGTAGGCTGGCCGCATCCTAGATGTCTGAGAGCTTGAAGTGAATGACCCTCGATATACATGCGCAGATCTGGAGAACGGTCCGGCAGTGACAAAAGTATATACGTCTGGCATGGCTGGCTTGAGGTAGGCTTGGGGTTGTGAGATTAGTGTGTCGAAGGAAGGTGAAGCGAAGGCACTCGGTTTATAAGGGGTTGGCATCGGTGGGTGTTTGGCACGTTTGGCTGCTCGGCACTGAAATGACATGACGGGATAATCCCCGGATTCTCGAGAGAATTAGGCAGTCGTGTAACACTGTAATGTGTAATTGGTGGTGAAAGTAGAACTTTGAGAATTCTGCGAGTCCACATTGATAGTGAAATCAGGTTAGAAGGCGGGCTCTACCGCTGGTTTGTGATAGCGCGGAGTTCCTTTCCATCGCTTTGAAGAATGGTCTACTGGCTGCGCAGCTTGGCTCTATGAGATAACAGCTATAATTGAGGGCAGATCTCATGTCAGAAATCAGGCCAAATCACGTGTCAGTGAGTGTGCAGCAATAGTGCATTTTGACATTCCCTAGCCTGACAAGGCTTTTCTTCCTCGCACAGCACTTTTTATACCAATGACACTTGCCAGTATCAGTCAGCTGTCTTTCTGGAAAGGTATTTTTGACATTCTAAGCAGCGTAGGCATCGCCAGGCTTGGAGCCACGATTGCTGGAGCGTACGCAGGCTACAGAGTCGTATACGAACTGTTTCTATCGCCACTACGTCATGTTCCTGGCCCGTTCCTGGCCCGACTGACCCCTATGCGTAGGCAGTACCTGAGCGCTCTAGGCCAAACAGCCCGGATGGCAATTAAAGAGTATGAAAAGTACGGTGATATCTATGTGCAAGGACCGAACGCGGTGTCAATATCAAGTCCGTCGGATATCAGGACCGTGCTTGCATCGCACGCCTTTGCCAAGGCTGACTTTTATGCCGCGCTAGATCTGTTTGGCATTGAGAATACGGTCAGCGCTAGAGACCCTGCGGTGGCATCGTTGCGCAAGCGTCAGCTCGGCCCGTATCTAAACCCAGCGTATGTTGCAGAGATGCAGACAGCAATTCTGAAGCATGGGTTCCTTGCATTGCAGCGAAAGTGGGAGGGGCAGCTAGCGCAGAGCACTAGCGGCGGCATCGAAGTTAACTACAGCGATGATTTTACACTAACCACACTCGACACTGTTTGTGCATTGGCGTTTGGCAGGGAGTTGGGGTGCTTAGAGCGGGGTGATGCGACGGTTGCGCACTGGGCTGAGGCGACAGTTAAGGTCCATGGGATGCGTGCTATGGTGCCTTTGCTTGGGTTCTATCCGTTTTCACTGGCTATCAAGGGTTTAGATACGCAGTTCCAGAGACTAACAGCGTTTTGTAGGGACTCCATTTCCAGACGACGGGAGCTTCTGGCAACCGGTGGTGAGAAACCGGTGGACCTGCTGCAGGCGTTCCTTGATGCGCAAGATCCAGAATCAAAGATCTCGATGAGCGAAACCCAACTCCAGGCAGAAACAATCGTGGTTCTTTTGGCTGGAACCGACACATCGTCTAACACGATGCAGTGGCTTGTGCATCTGCTACTGCTGCACCCAGAGATACGCACACAGGCTGTTTCCGAGGTACGAGGGAAATTTGCTGCCGACCATGTAGTCACATACACTGAGGCCAAGAAACACCTGCCCTTTGTCAACGCATGTATATATGAGGCCTTGCGTCTCTATCCTCTGGGCGGTGGTTATGTCCCTCGCATATCACCAGCTGGTGGAATCACGCTGCAAGGGTACTTCATCCCAGAAGGAACAGAAATCAACGCCAACTTCTACGGAGCGAGTATCCACAAGGGCGCCTGGGCTGAGCCATTGAGATATGACCCAACTCGGTTTCTGGCCAACGAGGAGGCGCGGCTCAACTTCTTTGCCTTCAGCCCTGGTGTCCGGATCTGTCCAGGGCGCCATTTGGCATGGGCTGAGATGTCGACTATTATTGCCAACATGCTGAAAGACTATGACTGGTCGCTTCCGAAGGATCTTACACACCTGGGACCAGATGTTCTAGACGAGCATGGCTACCCGTGTAGAATGGAGTCTGCGCACTTCCTGGTCACAGCACCCATCAACCCAAGGCGGGACTGCCGCCTGGTGCTGTCAAAGCACCCGTAGCCCATGAATGCCTTTGGATATTCTAGGAGTCGATAAATATTCGTGCACGATGAATGAGGAGACTGATCCTGCGACTCAATAATCGACCTGTGACTGTCATTTTTCCGAGCCGCGGAATGAGCCGCGGCTCCTTATCTGAGACATAAATTCGAGTGGAAGGCAGTCGCTCTAGATGCGAGGCTCTTTGTCTCTTCTAGTCCTCTCAAACCCCAGCTTTCCTCCTACCTTTCATTCTCAATTACCATGTTCGCTCGTACCGCCACCGCCGCTCTCCGCCAGGCTGCCCGCCGCCAGGGTGCCATCGCTGCCCGCGCCTTCTCGACCTCGTCGTCGCAGACCGCCCGCTCCCTCGGTGCCCGCTTCGGCACTGCTGCTGCCGCTGCCGCCATCGCCACCGCCGGCTACACCATCTACTCTGCCCAGACGCCGATCCAGGCAGACAACGCCCTGCCGGTCTACGGTGCTCCCGGCACCAGCAAGGAGCGCACCTTCATTGCGGTCAAGCCCGACGGAGTGCAGCGCAACCTTGTCGGCGAGATCATCTCGCGTTTCGAGCGCCGCGGCTACAAGCTGGTTGGCCTGAAGCTGCTGGTGCCGCCTGTCGAGCTGGCCAAGGAGCACTACGCGGATCTGTCGTCGAAGCCGTTCTTTGCTGGCCTTGTTGACTACATGACCAACGGCCGCGCGCCGGTTGTCGGCATGGTCTGGGAGGGCCCCTCGGTCATCAAGCAGGGCCGCATCATGCTTGGCGCTACTGACCCGAAGAACTCGGGTACCGGCACCATCCGCGGCGACTTCTGCCTGAGCATCGGCCGCAACATCGTCCACGGCAGTGACAGCGCCGAGAGCGCCGAGAAGGAGATCTCGCTGTGGTTCGGCGGCAAGGGTGAGGTCGTTAACTGGACCTCGAACAACGAGGAGTGGGTTATCTCTGAGAACTAAACATTCTTTTGTTTACTTGGGAACTACTTTGCAAATATATGGAACCCCGATTGTGTTCATTTATTTCAGACGTTGAGTGCAGCAAAGAATGCAGCATCAGCAGGGTCGCGGCCCAGGAAGGCGCGGAGCGAATCGGCAGCATCGCGGGTGGCACCAGGCTCAAGGATCTCGCGACGGTAGTCCCTGCCGGTCTGTGGGTTGTTGATTCCCTCCTTGGCAAAGCGCGCAGCAAACATGTCGGCAGAGAACACCATGCCCCACATGTATACATAGAACCTGGCGTCGTATCCGCCCATCATGTGGCTAAAGATGCCGGCTGCTGGGAGAACAAGGTCGCCGGTATCGAGCCTGCCAATGTCGCGGCGCAGATCCGAGTACAGCTGGGTGATATCAGCCGACTCCACATCGGTGGTGTTGTGGATGGTCTGGTCAAACCGGCTCTGGTACATGCGGCGCAGGCCGTCAATGGGGACACCGGCGTTCTTGGCAGCAATGATGGCATCGCAGAGACTGTCAGGCAAAGGCTCGCCGGTCTGATAGTGCCTGGAGAAGCGCTTCAAGATCTCGGGCTGCCACACCCAGTTCTCAAGCATTTGTGACGGCGCCTCGAGGAAGTCAAACTCAATCGACATGAGCCAGAACATGTCGTACTTGGATCTCAGGCAGATGACATGGAAAACATGACCAAGCTCGTGCAGAACAATTCTCAAGTCCTCGTGGGACATTAGCGATGGCTGCGAGTCAGAGCCCTTGGACAGATTGGTGATCAGGATGGCAGCCGGGAAATGGCGAGTACCATCGGCATTCACAAATCCAGAGCGCATCGGAATGGTGCACGGGTGGTTCTCCTTGTCCGGGCGCGGATAGGCATCAATGTAGATATGGCCCAGGAATCCGTATTCGTCGTCAGTCACCTCGTAGGCGTCGACTGACGGGTGCCAGACAGAAATGTCTGCCTTTTGCACACGCACATGCAGCAGCTTTTCGTAAAAATCCAGCACCTGGCGGATAGTGTGTTCCGTAGGGAGGTACTGGCGGACCTTGTTCTCATCGACGTTGTAGCGGGTCTCTTTGAGCTTGTTGAGATAGTAGGGGACGTCCCAGGCAAGCACCTTGGGGCTATCAGGCGAGTCCTGGCGCTTGAGCTCAGCGATATCCTCCATTTCCTTGTCGCCAGCCGTGCTCAGACGGCTGAGCAGGCCAGCCTCAAACTCGGCGACGCGAGCAGGCGTCTTGGCCATGCAGACCTCATGGACATACTCGGCGTTAGTCTTGTATCCAAGCAGCTTTGCGGCCTCAATGCGGAGCCTAGCAGCGTCCTTGATCAGTGGGATGTTTTGCCGCGCCGCGCTCGTCGTTGGTGACAAAAATGCGACGGCGGGTCTCGGCAGAATGCGCCTTTTGCAGCACGGGCTCCACATCAGGGTACTTTGTCGTGACGACAAACTTGTCGACTCCGTCCTCGGTCTTGGTCTCGCGGCCGGCGAAAAAGTCCTCTGGCAAGCCAGCGAGCTCCTCGCGAGTGAACAGTTCCTGGCCCTCGAGCTCATTGAAGTTCTTGGCAAACTGCAGGTTCAGTTCGGTAAGCTTGTTCTTGACTGCCGCCAGCTTCCCCTGGTCCTCAGGGGACAGCGCCAGGCCGTTGCGGCGGAACCTGCGGACGGTGTACTCGACCAGGCGTGCGTCCTCGGCATCGAGCTGGGACATCTCTGCCTTATTTTCAAAGACGGTGTTGATGGCAGCGAAGACGTCGGCACGCATGCCGGACTTGGTCTTGAAATCTTCCAGCAGCTGGTCGGCGTCGTTGCTGGCCTGGCGCACGGCGGCATCAGGCGAGATTGCCCTGAGGTTGGAGGCGGCCATTCTGGTGCTGACTTGGTTTTCGAACTGCGCGAATGGCACGACCACAGTGGCAAAGGTGGGGTTAGGTTCGGCGGCTATGGCATCATAGACTTGCTCGCCCTTTGCAATCAGGGACTTGGTTCCGTCAATGATAGCCTCAGGCGTGTAGGCGGCAAAGTCGATGGCAGTAGTGGCCATTATTGGTAGTAGCGAAGGGAGCTGGATAATTGGGATGAAGGCTAAGGGAAAGAAGCGTGGGTAAACAGTTGACGAAGCTGTGATTTTTGTGTGGGCTAGTTTATCACGGGTGTCCCTCTTTTCATGCATGGGCTGCTTCTTGCTTAGATCCGGTTCTTCCAGCTGGCACATTAGCGCATTAGCGCATCGACAGTTTTGCAGATCGAGTGACCGCAGTCAGGTGGGTTTATTCCCAGGCAAAAGGCATATGCTCAGAAGGCATTAGTGGCGATATGTTGCTGTTTTGCCATGACGTTTGCAGAGCGCGTGTAAAAACATAATAATAGCAGGGCTTGCCATATGTCCCCTAGCGTCTAATGTACAAATGGTTTCAGAGCCAGTGGGTTAACCGTGTATTGTATCAAGCTAAAAGTGCGGTCTAGAGAGGGTTGATGATGCGGCCCTCCATGCCAGCATTGACGTCCATGACATGCCCAGTGATATTACCCGACGCCTTCTCGCTGGCCAGGTACAAAATAGCATTGGCGATATCCTGCGGCTCCGAGATCTTGTTCAGCGGCGACGTGGCAAACGCCTTCTTCACGACATCCTGATCCTTGAGCGCCGGCTCGGCCATCGCCGTGCGGATCCACCCCGGGGCCACCGAATTAACACGCCCCTTGGGGCAAATCTGCACAATCTCGTTCTTCAGGCTAAGCGTCAGCCCGTACATCATAGCGGACTTGGACGCGGAGTAGTCTGCATGGTACCATTCGCCAAACTTGCCGGCAGTCGAGCCCACCATCACGACGGCGACGTTATCCTGGACATTGTGCTTTTCCAGCTGCTGCATGAAGTGGCGGATGGCCAGGAAGCTGCCAGTGAGGTTGACGTTAATGGTGTTGTTCCAATGCTCCAAAGACATGTCCTTTACCAGTAGTGGCTGGGTGGGCCAGATGCCGTGGTTGACGATCAGGACTTGGACGGGGCCAAACTTGGAAATTGCCGACTCGAATGCCTGCGAGACAGAGGATTCGTCGGTGATGCGGGCCTGGACAGCGAATGCACGGTCGGGGAACTCGTGGAGGAGTGGGTCCAGTGTCGTACTGTTGGAGTTGTAGTGCAGCGTGACAAAAGCGCCTTGGTCGAGGAATGCACGGGATGTGGCGAGGCCCACGCCGCCAGAGGCGCCAGTGACAAACACATGGACGTTCTTTAAGCCGAGGAAGTCTGCCATTAGTGGAAAAAGTAGTGCTGAAAGATGGAGCTGAGGCAAAGCAGCAGTCGGTCTGGTCGTGGGAAATTTGACAGTATTTATTTCATCAGGAGGAGGGTCTACAACAGGTGAGTCATCCGCTGTTGGTATGTAATAGCGATGCGGCCAGTATGGGCAGTGTCGGCGAGAAGAACGTCGCCGTGTTGACCTTTTGCTCGCGCATGATATGCGTGATAACATGGTCAGGCGGGAACGGGTTCGTCAGATCCTCCTCCTCGGGCGACGACGGCGCATTGGACAGTGACGCTGGGTTATCGCCATGATGATGGTCATTGAACTCGTACCGCTTCTCGTCGCCGCGGATGTCGCCGACACAGCTCTTGCGCTTATTCGCGGCAGCGGGCTCCCCGGCAGCCAGCCCTTGGTCATCATAGCACAGGCTATCGGCAGAGGAGTCAACCGAGGGCGACCTTACCGGGAACGTGGACCGGCTGGTCTCGACTGCAAGCTCCTGGCGCGTCTGCGGGCTGGGGACCTGAAGCAGCAGCTCGGGCCGGCCCAGGGCTTTCAGGATGTTGGTGAAAATATACAGGGCCGGGCCCCAGCGGTCCAGCGAGCGGATCATGGCCAGGATCCGAGCCAAACGCAGCATTGCGCACCAGGCCAGACGCGGCGAGCTCGACTGCACACGACCCACATACACCAGAGCGAGCTGGAACAGAGCGCCGATGATCACGGTGGTGAACGCATGCAGGTCGACACCGAACTGGTACGTGAATTTGAGCATGCTGTAGATATGCGTGGCGGCCTCGGCCGACGCCTGCACTGACAGTTTGAAGGCCTCGGCATCATCCTCGTATGTGTTCAGAATCGGCGTGGTGCCGGCCAGACGCGGCAACTCCTGCACCGAGAACGCCTTGGAGTACTGGAAGTTGCGTACCATGTCGAGGTCCTCATGCAGCAGAATCATCAGTGCAATGCGGTGGGCCCTGATCCGCGCCTGGTCGAACATGATATGCACGTACAGGATCTCCATGGTGCGGCCCACGCCCTGGTTCCACTCTTGGCGCTTCTGCCACATCTCGTTCTCGCTCAGACCCTCCAGGTTCATGCGGCGGCGCCGCATATCCAGGGTCTGAGTGTGGCGCGCAAGCTCGGGCAAATCGCCACGCAGATATGGCGGCAGAGACTCGCGCCACTCGACCATCTGGCGGTCCCACTCGCGCAAATATCCGACGTACGACCGGCTGGTCTTTTCTCCACGCAAAACCTTGTTGAAGCGGTTCGAGATCTTGTACTGCTTGATGAACAGTTCGCACAGGATCGCCAGAATGTCGCCCATGGGCGTGGTGGAGATCGGATATGGCGGTGCGGCGATGCGGAAGCCAAACTCCTGCGTCGCGTCAGGCACGAAAATGTGCTCGGCGAAGAAATCGTCATGGTGCGGCAGATCCGGCATGAAGTCGCGGTCCTCGGGCGCGTCGATGCGGAAGATCTCGGTCGAGAAGTACAGCGTTATGTACAGCCGCCAGTACGACCGGATTAGAAGCTGGTAGTTCCAGTCCATGCCGTTGGCGTCGGGTGTTTTGCGCACCCCGCGCCACGGGTACGGAGCGCCGCGGAACTTGACCGCCGTGATGATCTTGAACGCCATGCAGTGGTGCTCCAGCATAGGCGCAAACCGCGCTGACTTGAACTCATACGAGGACAGCATCAGCAAGGCCTGCACGCTGATCATGCTCGGGTTACGCGAGTCCGTCGGCGCGTCCTTGACTGCCAATGCATAGCAGACTTCGTCCAAGTTCGGTGGCAATGCGTCACGCAGCGACTCTGGCAGTGTCCACGAGCGACACGCGTCGGCAATGGTCGCCAGCAGATGGTACTTTGGCACATCGTAGCCCTTGACGCGCATCCAGAACAGCCGCGTGCTGTAGATGCCGATGCGCGAGCAGTCGTGGACCACATGTGTGATCAGCAGGTTGTACAGGAGCTCGGCGCTACCCAGCTCTGGATACTCTGTGACAATGTCGCGTAGAATCACTGGGATTGCGTCGTTGTTCAGTTGCGACACTGTGCTGGTAATCGACGCGTCACGGCCGCGCCCGCCGATGCTGCCATTCAGGTGCACCGACCGGTCCATATATGGGTTGTCGGCCAGTGGCTCGCTGGTAGCATGCATGTCGAAATCGCAGATCGGAATTCTCTGCTGCTGGATGCTGGGGCTGCTGTCTGACTGTGCGAGGCCGCCAGACCCCGCCGGAGCTTGCGTTGTTGACACCCGCCGGCTGCTGGCCAATGAATTGCTGCTGGCCAATGAGTTGTTGCTGACCAATGAGTTGTTGCTGGTATTGGAGATTGCATCGCTTTGCATGTGAGCTGCAAGCACAGGTGAATTATTGACAAAGTGCTTGGCAAACGCCGAAGAAACACCATGGCTCAGGATCCCGGTGGTCGCGTTCGGCGTCGCAAACGGCGTCCGGGGCTTCGTCGGCCATGTTCCCTCTAGCAGATTGTTAGCGGTAGGCGCTGATTGGACCCGGTTCATAGTTTGCTGCTGGCTAGGAACAATCGCTGCACCTGGCGCATATGGACCCGGCACGGGATGCTTGGGCTGCTGCATATTTCCCACAGCAAGCAGCTGGCTGTTGAGCGTGCCTGACATAAGGTTGCTGCTAGTGGTGGGCGAGTTGACTAGATTCAGCGACGCCAGTGCGTCTGTGGTGAATGGCAGCAGCCGATTATTGTCTGTCTGCAGTAGCAGATTGGGCGATGCCGACGTGTACAGCAGCGGCGACTGCACCCCGCCCGAAATATTCTGCTCCGAGGGCGTTGCGCTACTATTGCCAGCCGCCGGCACCTGGTGCAGCTGCTGTAGAAAGTCCGGCGACAGCGCAAACAGATTCGACGCCTGCAGATCGCTGAGAAACGGCGTCACATTGCTTTGTATGCCCGGTGCCTGCGGGCTCACTGGCGTTGCCAGATTCGGCAGTCCCAGGGCCACATCCATCGGTACTAGGTTGGCTAGGCTGCTGTCCATATTGCCTGGCCCAAGCGTATTTATATTGCTCGCAATTGGGTATTGTGGAGCCGAGATCGGCGGCGGCAGTGGCGGCTGTTGCACTGGGTTGTTTCCGGGTGCTGTGGCCACCGTGGGTGATGCTGTCAGCAGCGAGTCGTTCATCCAGAAGTTCATGCTCTGCAGAATCGACGGTGGCAGAATATCCGACTCATTAATAAGCGACGTGTCAAACAGTGCTGACAGTGGCAGGCTATCGTCCACTGTTGCTGCTTCGCCTGTTGCTATTGGTGCCGGCTCCATGGTTGACGCCAGAGTGGCTGTCGCCACTGCCGCTTCTGTCTGCTGCTGCTGCTGCTGCTGCTGCTGCGGGACATCTGACGACGCATTCTGCGGTACCTCAGTCAGCTTCTTTGCTGACTTGTCGTCCTTTGCTGCTGCGCCGCCTGGATTGAGCCGTCGTTTGTATCGCGCCGACCGCCGATAAATACATGGCTGGTGCCGCCGGGCACAGTGTGCGCAGGTCGGCTTATCGCCCGAACACTTTATCTTCCGCTGTCTGCAACCTACAGCACAGAATAATTAAACTCGTCGAGCTTTTTAATATATTTGGTGTTCACATTTGCTGCATCGTTCAAAACCAATTCAACAACTGCCCAACTTACTCTCGCACGACTTTAGCAAGGGAATAGTAACCAGCGGGCCCTGTGCTTGCTGCGCTTGCTGCGCTGGCTGCGCTTGCTGCGTACTGTCCATTAATATTAGAGGAACCCCTCGTCCAAGTAGTAAAGCGGAGAGAAAAAAAGGTGGAAAAGCTGTAAATAATTAGGTGAT